CACACACACACACACACACCCAACCGAACAGGGTCAAGTTTACTCACCATTAGTTTACTGCCATCTCGCCCTCTTACACAGTAAAAACAAATCATGTGTGTTAACAGTTTCATATTTTTGTATGTCCTCATTATCCTTCACCTCCACTGTCACAAAACTGAAAAAGGGACAAAAATTGGAAGTCGAGATTGCAGCACGAAGCATTCAGAGGGATAAGTGTCTCCAGTCAAACAGTTTGTCAAAAATCCATGAACTGAATCAGATGCTCAGAGCAGACCCAGGAAGCAGGGTCCCCTCAGTCAGAAGTAAAGTCCATAAAAGTCCAGCACTTTCTTCTTCTCATTCTGCTGTAAACATCAAACAGAGAAACTTCTTCAAGAATGTGTAGACTCAGCTGAAGATCATCGTGGTGATGCAGCTTCATCTGCACGATCAGATGATAACAATGATAGATGATGCGTCTGAGCGGCAGGAAAAGCTCACCTGTGTTTCCCAGCCACCCATCACGTCTCCAGGCAGTGAAAGCCCTCCTGTCAGTTTTATACCAGCGCAGAAGCTGCTCTCTTCTCGTCTCTCCTCTCATCCCCTCGCCTGTTACACGTTGACTGCTTTGCTCAGCTCTCTGTGCACTTGACCGATCCACTATCAGCTCCACCAATCTCAAATCCACACAGCTTTGCACTGTCCAACCTATTCATTTTTATGATACTCTCACACACTTGCCTTCTCCCCCCTCTGCTGCCGCCGAGCCCGTCACCTGTAGGCTTGGAGGTACTCGAAACCATTTCCCAATTTCCTTCTCTCCTCGCCTCCTTCTTTATCTTGTCTATCACCCGAATTCCTGTCATTTTCACCTCCCTCACTCCCACTCACTTTTCACTCCTGCCCACTTTTAGTCCTTTGACTTCCTCTAATAAGTCCTCTGCCTGTACCCAACCATTACCAATTTTCTCTGACCCACTATTTGTTATTAGCCCCTTGTCTTCCTCCTCCCCTTCCTCTCATCCCTCCACTCTCCATCCCTGTCTCTGCCTATCCTCCTTATATATCCTCAGCCTTCGCTTTGCCTTCTCCCCATCTCCAGCAGCATGAATATATTATTATCTACACAATGGGGCCCTGCTTATTGTTTATGAATTACCAGCCTTGCGGCCAAACAAAGCCTATTTTCATAAGAAACCTCCATTTCATTTCAGCTCCAATTAGATTGGGGGCTAAAGAATAGGAGTCCTCAGGCCTCAGCCCCTAAGGATGGCAGGTCCATTCAGCTTCATTCAATGGGGCCTTATTGCTTTCCCATACAAAAGAGCACGTGGACGGGCTTTCAGACTGAAACACCAACCAAAAATGACTGGGAGACAGTACTGTACAATAACAAATCTTTAAAGAAAAGACACTGAGTGCTTATCCTCCCATCCATCAATTCATCCCTCACTCTTCGCTTTCTTCCTCTCCTCTGTTCGTTTATTGTAAGACCTGGACATTAATGACAGACAGTTGAAAGAGAAAGGGAGTGAAAGAAAGAGAAGAAGAAAGAGGCAGAGAAGCTCAGTTTTTCACAATACATGTCAAGTCTAAATGATCACTGGCTGTTGAATAGACAGGGAAGGGAGAAGAAGTGAGTCGTGTGTATGCATGTGTGTGCGTACATCTGATTGATTCTCTGCTTTGAGAAGAGAGAGAAAGGAAGGAACGAAAAAAGAAAAGGACCTTGATGCTTTTTCTGAGCACCACAATAGTTGCAGGGTCTGAGCTGTATTGTGGAGCAGCCACAGTGACAGCCTGTCACTCCATCCTGGTGGGAAGAAAGAGGCAGAGGGAGTGAAGAGGGGCTGGGGTAGGTCAGAACCTTGATAATACATGTCTGCCTCCTTGGTTCATGAGTTTCTCACCCACCAGACACGACACGAAGAGAGAGGCTTTTAGGTTGGTCCCGGTAAAGTGGGAGCAGAAATAGGGCAATGCTGGAGCCCATGTGTCACAGCAATATGTGATTATGTGACTTCACCAGCAGGTAATATCAACTAAGAGGTCAAGCCAGGTAAACTTTGGTGTAACAAGTCAACTCTTTTTAATGTTCCGGTTCATGAATGTGGGACTAAGCAGTTGTCGACCAACCAGACACTGGCCAGCAAGGTCAGAGCATGATAGCGCTGGCTCTGGCTTTATCTGCCGAGATCTGCTTCAGGCGATGAATGCGAATTGCACCTTTGTTTCTACGAGGAAAATATTCAGCACGAAACAAAAGGGAACAGTTTTCATTACTAATGAGTGGACAAGGTGCAGAGTCACAGTGAAAAGGTTGACATCTGTGCTTATTCATCCAACAGCAGCAAAATGGGATCATCTCCCCCACAAAGCTTGTCACAATGGTCAAGGGACACAATAGTTTATAATATGCCGGCCGTTTCAGAAAGAGATGCACAAACATAAACACATTCATGAGCATGAATGATTTTTTAGTGAGGGTCAGAAACAAGATGCAAATCGATATGAATGACATAAGAATTAATTCAGCAACCAAGATGTTACAAAGGAGTAACTGGTTTTAAAATTGTGGCAGATCAATTCATATCTGTGATTCTGGATAAGTATTGTGATTTAAAACTTAATTTGTAGATCCAATTACTTTCCACTGCTTCAAGTCAAAAGTAAACCGAACTTACTTGTGTTAATGTTTTGGTTGTTAGTCAGTAATTATTCTGCACATTTGTAAGGATTTTATTCAATTCTAAAATTCCACTATGGGTCATTTTTATGTTTCAACTTGAGTCAGCTTGTGTAGTAGTGATTTATGAATAGAATGAAGAACATGTAGTCACTCCATCACTCCCTTTGAGCATATATGTAATGTCAGTACAGCAGAGATTGGGGGGTGATGATGATGTACTAGTGAGAAATGGGTGAATACTGCAATACTACTACTACTATGAGCAACAGCAGCAGTTGAGGAATTTGTCAAGGCAGGAATGATGGCAGATGAAAAAGTTTTATCCTCTTGTTTAGACACTATAGGTTATTTTTCTAAATACTAATAACAAAACCTGGCACCAACAGTAAAACACCACACCCCTCTTGCAAAAGCAAACAATTCTTGCACATCAAACTCTTGTAAAAGCTGTATTTTTGCTTCAAAACACTTATTCAAACCTTGAGATAAATACTACACAGTGATGATATCCGTTTGCAATATGCTTTTGTCCTACATACAGTACTGCAATATACACACACTGGATATCTGGTTTTAACAACAGCTTCAACTTGAACAAACATTTTCACTTGTCCAAGCAGGAGAAGCACAGATGTAAATAAAGTGACTGACTTCGTCTCTGACTGACGAAGAAACAAACAAGCTAAAAAACTACGTGAAAGTTTGAAACACGCACAAACTGACGCAGCTCAAAAGCAAAGAAAGGATAATAATCGTGAATTACTCCTCTCTGTTAGGCTAATATCAAAATACAGACAAAACAACAAATCACTGATATCTTCTAATGAAACGCTTTGTGGAGTCGAGCAGGAAAAGAGCATCAAAATGTAAACAGAGGCTCAGCAGCAGCCACAACACGACTACAGGCTAATTTACTGATGTGATGAAGAACACAAAGAAACAGGACAGATGCTACGTGTTAGCACAGCACATACCTAGCTTGTCGGGGTGAAGCAGTTGTTCCAGGTGTTTTTCTTTTTCTTCACAGGAGGTGGTGGAGCTCCGAAGTATTTACCAGCAGAAAAAGAAAACTGCTTCCAGTGCAATTAACAAACATGACAAAAGACAAGGACCAGAGATATTATTAGAAAGAACAGTGTAAACAACACCGGACGTGTTTCAGCAGACTAGAGGCAACATGGCGCACGGAAACACTTCAAATAAACCCGCCAAAAAACTAAACAACGTATCACCTGTGGGCGGAGTGATACAAAATGGAGTTGTTCGGTCAGGAACTAGTTCGCATGCTGAGGTTTAAAAACGACGCGACGATGAAAGAGAACTATAAACTGCAGCTCATTAAGTTACTGATGTTCATTCTCACCTGCACAGTTCAGGTAAAAGATTATTGAATTATACTGATATAAACAGAGTGGACATAGAAGGTTAATAAGAGCGCCTGTCAGAATAACAATAATTAAACAATAGACAAAAAAAGAAGAAGCTGATTGTAGTCTAGGTCAGTGTCTCTGATATGTCTATCATTTCTCTTGTTTTCTTTTATATTTACTTATAAAATTTTTCTATTTACTTGAAAAAGTGCTGAAGTCCTACATTCAAAATGTTGCTGTAATTGTAAATGGATAAGGAAATACACAAAAAAGAGTTGACATCGAAATTACTTACTATAGTAATTACTAAAAAAAGATCAAAAGTAAGAGTAAAATTATGCAGAATCATGTTAATTATAAACATGGATGAGTTGATGTGTAACACTAAACTATACTACAGTTAAATGGTGCAGTGAGTAAAGGTGGTGCTGTCTATTTGAAACCTGCTGGTAGCTCCATCATGATTTATAAGGAAAGAAATTGTCCATTTATAATTTCAGTCAGTGACTATATCTTTCGGATAAATGTAGTGGAGTGAAAAGTACAATATTTGCCCCCGATATGTACTCAAGTAAAGTAAATACCTTTAAATTACACTTAAGTACAGTACCTGAGTAAATGCAAGAGTGAAGTTACTACTCAAAAGGACAGTCGCAGGGGTTTTCTCAGGTTTTTGGATTTACTTTAAAACCATCACTGAGGTGGCAAGGAAACAACAAGTAATAAATAACAGGACTGTCTGTTATATCGAATGATGCAAAAGTTCTGTGCTGGACAAGATCACTTGTTGATTGAACTGCTGATATTTCATGTTCAGAATAAGGTAATAGACTGTGGTGAGAGGCCCTGAGTACACACTGCATGATCTGAAAAATGTTGGAACCACCACACAAAGCCATGTACAGTACTGGTGATATATGGTTGGATTACATTTTAATGGGGCAGCTCCAGGTTCCAATCCAGTGTGGTGCAGACAAGCATTAAAAACACAACCACTTTTCAACGTCAGAGTTTTCTTTGAATCAAGTTGTTTCAACAGAACTTAAAGTATAAACTCCATGAGATCGCAATATAAACTAAATCCTACCTCGTTACAGAGTTCCATTGCTCCATTGTGGTCTTAAAAACAGATTTCAGAGGCAACTCAAAGTCATTCTTCTAAAAACACATTTATTTCTCCCAAAGGACAAAGGCTCATCTTTTAGCAGTATTTACAATAAACAGTACCGGCTTAATATCTGTACATTTCCCTTAGGATCCGCAGAAATAAAGTCAAACTGCAAAGTGGTCAAACAATAATGATGACAAGACAAGAAACATGTTTCCTGGCACAAGCTTTTGATATGCCTGTGTGAAAGAGACCCAACAATAATAAATTCATAAAAAAATTAAATAATATAAGAGAGGTTATGAAATGGCATGGTTCAAGTTCAGAGTTGTCCAAGGCCTTTGTGACCATTAACACCATTAATGTACCACTTATGTACCAGTGGACAGCGTCCTGATGAATGATTGTAAACAGACAGAGAGGATCTCGCTCTGGTTTCTCTCCAGCCCCACGATCACGCCCAAAGACAGAGGATGATGAATGTTGAAGTGGTGGAAGTGTGTGATGTCCTCGCCCTCTTGCTTGGTGTTCAAGGAATGTTAATGTGGAAGAGATTGTCAAGGCTGTTCGGTAATTCTGGTTTTGAAAGGGGCCGTATTGACATCCTGCTTAAAGCACACACACATGTACCCATGTCAAACAAGTATACAATTTCCCTCTTACAGATGCACTCACACAACCATCCTCAGCCTATGTACGCACAAGTGGAGCAAGTCCACATATTTGCAGGTTTTTTTTCTTTTCAAAGTTTCAGATGGAGATCGTGGTAGACGGCCTCACAGGTTGGTCTCATCCCATGTTGGGTCGTTCATGCTCTTTAAAACTCTCCTCACAACCTTCTCTAGATCCTTCCGTGCTCTCTGCTCCTCCTCCAATGACCTTTTCATCTTCTTATTGTCCTGTTGTGGAAAACAATATTATAACACATGCTGCTGTTTTACAGATTTAGAGAAGACATTAGAGACTATCTCAATCCAAAGCTAAGGTGACAGTATCATTAGCTCAAATAATGCACAAAATCTCATCTTTCAAACCTCCGTGTGCAAAACAACATACAAATAAATTTAACTCCTTAGTTATATTTATGGCAATGTGACTTCACCAACCTTTCTTAAGTTTAGATCAGAAAACCAGCTTATTTTAAGTTAAAGTTATATATTTAATAAATCACACCATCATGATCCATCATCAAACATTCACCTGTTTTAGTTCCTGAACTTCATCCCTCAGGGCATACACCACATCCACCAGGCTCCTTTCAGACAGGAATATTGACAAGTCAGCACATGGCATGAGAGTGTTGTTTTCAGACCCACTTGATACGATGCAAGATATTATCTCATAGCAGTAGCACAGACCAAGAGTATGATACTAAAAATAATAATAAGAGTTACAGTTGCAGAGATGAAGCATTTTACTTAAGGTGCAAGTCTTGTAAAATATATATTCTCAATGTCGTCAAATCCCTTTTAAAATGAAGGGAGAAGAGAAGCACATTAACTTACTTATCTTCCACTGCACTTTGTCCATTGCGACTTGGATCCAGGACTTTGTCCTCACCAGGGATGATCACATGAAGTCCTGTCTCTCGTCGCGGTCCTGTTTCAAAACAGAAAACCACTCAACACTTGATACTTTGCTTTTTCTCACCTTGCAGTGAGATGACATCTTGAGTATATTAAGTTTTCTTTCCACATTGTGAGCTTCTTCTGGAAGGACCGACAGCACCAGAGAGGAGATGCACCACAATTGTTGGTAGTAGTTTGTTAGTCATGCACAGAGAAGAAATCAGATAGGAGACAGAGGAGAGTGAAAGGAAATGAGAAACAGTGACGATATCAGACCTCAAAAAACCCAAACAAATCCCTTCATTTATTCACAATGCATTTCTCTGTCAGTAAGAACTCCACCATCTTCCCTAAAACAAAAACACACAGCACAAGACAATCAAAATCTTCCATCCTTACAAATCACCAGAAAGCCTGTGTCTACCAAATGACAGATTTATTCAAAACTCATAATACAGCGTTGGGGACTTGAACACTTCAGCAGTGTCGAACAAATACACCGAAGGCGCTGTTTGCAGATAAGACGTGTGAACTGGATACAGCATTAGAGCACACTGAGAGGATGTTCGTCAAAGACAGTCTCTTTACCCTGCCTGTCCCACAGTTAGTTTCACAGAATACACCTGTCACAAAGTATAGCACATGATGTAAGGACAGTGATACTCTTAGCTCAAATACTCTATAGAAGGTAGAATGGATTATTTTTCCTTGTTCCATGACAACTAGTATTTACACAAAGGGACACTGTGTGCTCTTCATTTTTCAAGTCCACACCGACAGTATTCAGAGGTTGAGTGAATAGACCACATAGAAATATTCCCATATAATCATCTCTTGTTTTTTTTCTTTTACACTACGAATGAGCATTTACTTTACAGTAACACTGAATACTTAAGTCTACCTTTAGGACTATATCATACACACTCTAGGCAGACGACAAAAAGTACAGAATTTAACAGATCTACCACCCCCCCACCCCATCCCCCGACGTCCATTTACATGATTGTGCAAAATAATTTAAACACTTCATGTTATAATTTCAGTGTAAACTTTAAATCAGACCAATAAAATGTAGAAAAAAACAGAAAACAAATGATTCATCCAGGGATCATTTTGTAAACATTGACATAAAGACAGCCTCAATTGAACAATCACAGGCGTTTGTGAGTTGTGATAGCAATCCACACACATATGGTTCTGTATTCTGTGTGTGTGTGTGTGTGTGTNTAAACACTTCATGTTATAATTTCAGTGTAAACTTTAAATCAGACCAATAAAATGTAGAAAAAAACAGAAAACAAATGATTCATCCAGGGATCATTCATTAAATAGTAACGTAACATGGACCAATATATTCCACGTGTCACCTGCATTGCTTACTGTAAGAGGAGATAGACTCTAAGTGGATGCCAAGCTGTACTTTTAATACCAATACTGGAAAAATACTTCTTCATAAAAATAGTTATTAATGCAGGTTAGTATGGAAAACCTTGCAAGCTAGACAACACACAGGTATGTGTGTATTATGAGGCCGTAGCAAAGGTGTTTATTTGTTGTGACACAAGGGATCTTTGTTTTTGACGCTATGCTAACTATGTCAAACTGTCAGAGCCGTCAACAGCTACACTCTAAAGAAACAGATCATATTTTGGTCTGTAGGATAATTGGCCTGTGTGCCGTGGGTTAGTTAAGAAGACTGATGCCACTCTAATGTCTGTGGTAACACAGGTTGTATCGTAGGCTAAGCCAACCAGACGCTGGTTAAGCTAACCAGGAGCACCCCTGTTTAGCAAGATAGCTTCTGGTTAAGGTAAGTTAACAAGATACAGGTTAGCCTAGCAAGAAAGCTTCTGGATAATTTAAACTAACCAGTTGCAGGTTAGCATGGCAATGTAGCTTTTGGTTAGGGTAAGCTAACAAGATAAAGATTAGCTTTACAAGATAGCTTCTGGTTAATTTAAGCTAACCAGATGCAGGTTAGCCTAGCAAGATAGGTTATGGTTAAGTTAACCGCATGCAGGTTAGCTTAGCAAGAGGGTTTCTGGTCAAAATACATTATAAGAAATAGTAGTCTTGGCAAGATAGCTTCTGGTTAGAGCTAAGCTAACCATCTTCTCATAATGAGACAATTAAAACG